ATCAGTCCCATCAAAAAAAGTTGTAGCAATTGAATCCCATACCTGTTTAGCAGTTGGGAATCGAATAAAATTACCAATCAAGGAGGGGTCCATTGAGTTGATTAGCCATCCTTTGACAATGGCATTTTCAGTTCTCCATTTCCGGAAAAATGGATCAGTTTCGAGAGGTTGTGGAGAGTCGCCAGTAATATATCCCAGTTTGTCTTTCCCTGAGATATACATCTCAACAACTTGGGACCATAAGGCATAGTTGGAATCACCCAACTTAATGCCAATAGGAGCATTTGAGGAATCGGATGAGGTCTGAGAGGAGGTATGGACTCTGGTCAAGGCCTCTGTTATTTTAGTTGTCCAGTCATCGAGAGTAGACTCTGCCATGGTTGCCGAGATCCTAGGATCTTGCTCTGATACCATTTCAACAGTTTCTGTTTTTTTCCAATTGATTTCCCATAGCAGAGTACACTAGTATATGTAGAAACACGGTAAGCTATTCTAGGATATACATGATCTAAGGCTATAATTATGGTTGACCCTTTAAGAAAGGGATTTTACAATGAAATACTTTCTGTAAATAAACTAATATGATCCTTGTATGACAGCTCACGCCAACAGGATCTACATGCCTTGAGCTCGAAGAAAGGTGTTTATTTCCCTCCGGTTTGTCAGTGGAACTTATCAAGGTAAATCTTTTCATCTCGAGATTACACGTAATTCAAAAACCGAAAAAAGAAAATATTAATAATAAAAACTAAATATGTATCTGGTCCATGTCATGGCAGCTGCGAAAAAGCCATGAAAGCCTTGTTGCTGAGAAGATGCATCTTTTTGGTTCAGCTGGAAAAGCATGATGATGGTTTGTTCAGCGATTACTCAGCCACTCCATGTAGTGGTTTGTAAAATTTGCAAATGTTTGATCTGAATAATGAGGAGGGTGATTTAGTGAAGAAGAAGCTTTTAAATCAATAAAATGTCGTATTGGTTTTGTTATTTTTTCTGTTTTCATTCAATTACTTTATGTTATGAAACATCAAATATTTAATTATACCATCATTCAATGTGTAATATTCTGTTTAATTTGTTCATAATTTACTATATTTAAAAGCAATAGTAATGCTTTGTTGTATTCAATATTATTTATTTACTTCCATTAGTGTATGATGAATACATTAAAAATGTATTCATGTTTACTTTGTCATGCGTATCGCAGACATTATTTTAAAACAGAGACCGGAGGATAATCCGTTTTGTTGTCCGGGTCAGGGGTCAATCGGTCCAACCAGTTGGACTGGCCGGTTGGACTGATATGTCAATGACAATTTTATTTTTAAAAAATTATATATTATCCTTCAAATTTTAATATATTACAAAAATTTCCCTAAAAAAGTTTAATTGGTCCCTAAAATTTTTATTTATTTCAAAAATACCCAAAAAAATTACCAATTAATCTCTAAACTTTTGACATATCTCCTAAACAGCCCTATAAAATTTAATTAACCCTTATAATTTTGAAATATTACAAAACCCCCCAAAGGCCTAAACCGGACCGAAGAAGCTGTTGGGTCCCAGTCTGACCGACCAGTCTGGTTCGGTTTTTAAAACAGAGATCACACACAAAGTAATGTTTCATTGTATCTTGGAATGTATATTTATGAACTTAATGCATTAATCAATTAGTATGAACAAATAACATTTTTAAATGAATGACATTATATTAATAATAAATTAAAGTGTAAAATAATATTAATAATAAAAAAATTTTAAAGCATTGTATTCAATAGTAATGCATTTTTTTTTTAAAGTAGTAAGCTTCGTTGTAAATGATATTCAATAGTCAATTAGCATGCTTCATTGTATTCAATAATAATGCATTTTTTTAATTGAGTTATTAAAGTTTAAATTTTTTCCATTAAAGTGTAAATGAGATAAATTATGTTAATAATAAAAAATTTAATCATACAATTTTAAATGAGATAAAAAATGTTAATAAAAAATATACAAAAACGAAAGGAAATGGCAAAGTTGTAATATAATGCAGCAAACATGGTTTACAAATAAGATGAAGACTGAATACGTGTCATTTTACATTAAAGAGAGAGGGAGTGACAGACCCAATAGGATCAAAGAGTCTGGATAATCGTCTGTGAACCCTACAGGTTTCAGATAAATACATTTTAGCCCACTCTCATTTCCGGTGAGATTGTATTATTTATATGGAAACCCACAAAAGACCACGCCAGTTTGAACCCTAGATAATCCACAAACAGCGCTACTCAAATGGCCTCCAAAACCTTTCTTCGTCGTTTTTCTTCTTCTTCTGAAACCGTTACGAAAACCAAACTCTCATCTTTATTCACAAATTCATGTAAAGTGACTACAACTATACCACAAGATTCAGTGCATAACGTTGAAGAGGTAGCAAGGCTTAATAAATTCCTTCAAAAAGATTGTAAAGAAGGTAATATCACTCTTGATGAAGCACGCTATTTCTTTTGTTTAATGATTCATATGCAACCCAAACCACCGATTTCATCATTCAACCGGTTGTTTGGAGCTCTTGCTAAGAAAAAGTTTTATGAAGACGTTATTTTGCTGTGCAAGAGAGTGGGTTCAATTGGGTTGTTGCCAGATTTAATTACTTTGAATATTTTAATTAATTGCTTTTGTAATGTGGGTCGAGTTTGTGATGGGTTTGTTGTTTTTGGGAGGATTTTGAGGTGGGGTTTTAGCCCAAATGCTGTGACCTTGACCTGTTTGATTAAAGGTTTGCTTTTGGAGAATAGGAGTTCGGAGGCTACGAGGTTGTACAAGAAAATGGCTGTATTTGGGGTTAGGCCTAACGTGATTACGTATGGGACTTTGATTAACGGATTTTGTAGCACAGGCAACACGAGCGGTGCGCTTAGATTGTATGAGGAAATGGTTGCTGGGGGTGATAATTGTAAACCTAGTATTGTTTCTTATGGTAGTATTATCCATGGTCTTTGTAGAGATGGGTTGGTAGATAGGGCGAAAGAAATTTTTGTGGAAATGAAGAGTAGAGGAATTGAGCCAAATGTGGTTGTTTTTAGCTCTCTAATTTACGGTTGGTGTTTTGTGGGAAATTTGGAGGAGGCTAAAGGCTTGTTTATTGAGATGGCGGACCAAGGTTTGCAGCCTGATGTGCTGGCATATAATTCAATGATAAGTGGGTTTTGCAAGGAGGGGCAGATAGAGGAAGCCAATCGGTTGTTGGAATTGATGATCCGAAGAGGTTTGCAACCAAACACAGTTAGTTATAATACTTTGATGGATGGTTATTGCTTGATTGGTAGATTTGATGATGCAAAGGAGCTGCTAATCTCTATGGAAAGCAAGGGTTGTAAGCCTGATGTTGTTAGTTATAATACTTTGATCAATGCTTATGGCAAGAATAGGAAATTAGAGAATGCTATGAGTCTTTTCAAGGAAATGATTTCAAAGGGAATAAGACCGACAGTTGTTACATATAACTCTTTGTTAGCTAGTCTTTTTCTATCAAATGAGGTTGGAATTGCGCGGAAACTATTTGATGAGATGAAACTTCATAATGTTGCACCTAATCTACTTACATATACAATTTTGATTGATGGGTTATGCAAGAATGGCTATGTTCTGGAGGCAGCAAAATGGTTTCGTACTTTGGAGTACTATGAGTTTAAACTTAGTATTGAAATCTTCAACAGCCTCATTGATGGGTTGTGTAAAAAGGGAATGCTTGAAATTGCTTTGGAGTTATTTCACAAGTTGCCTAAAAAAGGCTTAATGCCAGACGTTGTGACATATTCCATTTTAATCCATGGGTTTTGCAAAAAAGGGAAACTACAAAAGGCATATGATTGGTTACTAGATATGGAAAAGAATGGTTGTGCTCCAGATGTTGTTACATTCAATACTCTTATGCGAGGTTTTTTACAAAATGATGAGGCAGCTAAAGTGGTTGAACTTCTTCACAAAATGAGTGACAGAAAAGTAATACCAGACGACTCAACGTTTTCCCTAGTCATAGATCTACTTGTAAAGCATGAAAATTATCGTGAATGTTTGGAGTTGCTTCCTTCATTTCCTCCACAAAAGTCAACAAGAGGCTGACATGATAAATATTGCTGCACTTAACTATAAATGTCCATAAGTTTATGCTACAAGTGATAGTATTTTCTCTTTCTATTTTCTATGTAGCATCCTTTGATCATAAGTCTTCACTTATTCAATCATTTATGTTATTTTGAAGTTTTTTTGGCTTATCTCAAGTTTTTGTTGCTCACCTGAATTCTGATTCCTCTAATTATTTAATCAATCTTTTGGAGCTCCCGGTACTTGAAAAGCAATTTCCTAAGCGTTCTCATCTCCTCACCCACAAACCTTTGATGGAAGCCTTGCTTCTGTAGTCCCCTTCCTCTTCCCATATCCTGAATGCCTCCCTTTTCTCTTTGCTTGCTTTGTTCTTGATTTGAGTGGATTGTGCTGGGCTTTTTCACTATCAATCCATCCTTTTCCAGCTTTCTTATGTCCATTCCTGCAATTGCAACTATTATGATGTTTATATAAAACAATTAAGATGTGATTGGCCTCATTAGGATCAAGCTACACTCTCCCCTTCCCACACTGGAGAAGACTTGCAGCTAGCCTTTTCTGAAGCTTTAAACACACCATTTTTAATTTTAATTTGTTTTGCAATATAAATTATTTCAATTTGAAACGCAAATATTCTACATTTATACCTCAATTTACTTGTTGCAAAAGTAAACTTTGCACCTTATTCTTTAATTTAAATTCTATTATGTTCTATTTTGAGCCTTTAATTGACTAAGATTAAATATGTACTATAGTATTAGGGTGCGTTTGGTTGGGGATAAGTGAGATTACTGAGGTAATATCATCTTATATTATTTTATTATCACGTTTGGTTGTCAAGTAATATACGATTATGATAATCTTTACTGTTGGTAATATAAGAGATTATCGAATTACCTTCATTTCTTTATGTATTGTAAGATTACTAAAGTAATATTACTTTTATTACAATTATATCCTTTATTAATAAAATTTTAGGACAATAATATCTTTATTTTTAAATTAATTTACATGAATCTGACTTTTACTATTTCACCTTAATTAATTAACTTTTTGGACAAAATTATTCTTGAATTCAAAACAAATTGTAGTCCATCCAAGCCACCACACTTATCTACCTATCGTCGGTGGTTAGTTGTTGTTGGAACGATCGAAAATGGCCATCGTGTGTCGATATGACCATTTTCGGCCAAATCTTTGGTCGAAAATGGCCAAATTATAAGATGTGGCCATCAACGACCAGATCTATCACGATTTGACCATTTCCAGCTAGATGTCTAGTTAGAAATGGCCATATAGGTGCATAGAGGCCGTTTCCAGTTGTCTGTACGTTGTTAGATTGCCTGTCAACGGCCGATGGTTGTTGTCGATGGTTGGCAGTGGCTGGGTTGGTAGGGGATTTTCTAAGCTTTTGTTATAGGGTTGTTTTTGCTAAGTTTTTAAATTTATGGGGGGTATAAATAGTATAATAATAATATTTAATTAGAGAACAATTCAATAATTTAAATAATATATCTATCAATTTATTCTTCTCAACCAAACATATTAATATAACATATCTAATAATTTATTCTAACCAACCAAATATATTTTTCTAAGTATTTTCATTAATCTTCAAGGTAATCTATTTTTCCATTAATATAATATCTCTAATAATACAACACTTCCTGAATAAAACGCACCTTTAATGTTACTTAATATGGAAAACTTAAAATATTAGATATCTACGCTTGGGATGCAAGTGAAACTTGTTTTCTTTTTTTGGGGATAGTTTGATATTGAAAAAAATAAACATATTGCCATAAACTTACACCTTATTATTAATGTTATTGACTCAATATAATCAACTAAATTTGATAGTGTTTCTTATGACATTATAAACAACATAGTAAGTTATGCAAATTATCAACGTGAAGCGGAAATTGGAATGGAAACAAAATATGTTTATTTTTTCACTTAAAAGATGCCTAAATAATATGGTTCGTTTGATTCATTATTTTGGATATGATTTTTGATATTTTTAGAGTTAGGTGAGAATAATGAGGTAGGATTTACAAATTAATAAAAACGCCTCTCTAGGTTTGCTAATTTACTAAACACCCCAATATATAAAATTTTTGTAAAATGACAAAAACAACCCCACCCACAATTGCCAGATCCGGCCACCATCACCGGAATCTGGCGTTACGACGCACGATAGGGCGGATTTGGCCGTTCATGTGCCGATATGACTTTTTCCAGTCAGATCCACCACGAATCTAATTGGAAGAGGCCAGATCTACGACCAAATCTAGTTGATGACCATATCTTGGCCATCGTTGACGACCAGCTATGACCAAAGATCTGGCCGTCAATGGTCAGATCTTTGGCAGTGGATTTAGCTGAAAAATGATAGATCGGCACACTACAGGCTAGATCCAGTCGATAGAGTGTCATTATACTAGATTTCGGCCACCTTTCGATAGTGGTAGCTAGAATCTGACAAATGTAGGTGGGTGAGGTTATTTTTGTTAATTTTTAAACTTTTTTTCGAGGATGTTTTGTTAAATTAATAAACTTAATGGATTTAAAAATAGTTTAAGAAAATATGATAGTATTTTGAAGATAATGAAACAAACAATTATTTTAAGGATATGATTGGAAATAGGATATGGAATAATGAAACAATTTTCTTAACGATTTTTAACTAAAAAACAATTACTATCGGGTCAGGTCTATCATTCGATTATCCATGGCCCGACCCAAATTGTCATCCCTATTTTCAGCCCATTAGGGCTCGAATAAGATGTGTGAAAATGCTGAGTAGACAAATTAGACGACAAACTAATAATTTATATTTAGAGAAAAATCAGGTGTGAAAAAGACAGAAATACCCCCACTAATCTCCACTCTATTTCATTAAAAAACATAACAAATCATTTGCTCAACTCCCGTGTTACCATTTTCAAAACTCAGACTAAGATGGCTGATCAGAGTGAGAAACCAGAGGTAAACATGGTATTTATTTGTTTATTTAAATTTAATTCTCAATCACTTTATTTTTGCTGATGGATGATAATCTCCCATTTAAAAGATCTTTTTTTTTTTTTTTTTTTTTTTTTTTTTTTTTTTTTTTTTAACAATAGATGGTTGTAATTAGCAATACAGTATATAAAAACAAGTTCTTACACACAAATTCTATATTTTATTAAACCAGAAAACCTATTATATTCCTCTGTTGACATTCAGTATTCTAATACATATTGATTTAAATGAAATTCTCATTTGAAATAACTTAAAAGATAAATTGACGTAGTATTATTCTTTTTATTGAATTAATAACTTAAAAGATAAATTGACGTAGTATTTTTTATTCTTGGCTCCTCCACTAATTTGTTTATTAGAGTTGATAAATTGACGTAGCATAATTCTTTTTATTTTAACATTTTATTTTGATAATCAAATTTACGGTACAAAGGCAAACAAACGTTAGAAGTCTTTGGGTTTTGCAGTACAAAATATTACAAATAATACTACACATACAATATTATGTGACAAGATGATTGAACGAAAGTTTAATTTTAATTTAAAATCAATTAATTATATTTTATTACATAATATTGTATAAAAATATTGTATGTGAAGTATTACTCAAAGCCAAACAAATTAATTATTTTTGTACATGTTTTCATAAATTAGTTATAAAATTTAATTTTTTTTTTCATGCATTTTTATATTCTTTTCAACATAAAGGTGTAAATGATATTAATAATAAAAAATTTAATCATATCAATAAAGAGTGATGCTAAATAGACCCCACCTATTTTCTATTAAGCCCCCATTTTCAATTTTTATTCAGATTAAAATGTTAATAAAACAATATATTAAAAATTAGCCTTTGATTTGATTTATTTTATATATTTCTTTCAACAAAAATGATTAAAATATCCTATTAAAAAAATTGATTAATTTAATTCTGATTCATATTCAAATTTAAATAACCTATTAAAAAAAAAAACAAAATTGTATGTTAAAAAAAAAAAAATGGCAAAGTTGTAATATAATATAGAAAGTATGGTTTAAAAATATAATGAAGAGTACAGATGAATACGTGTCATTACATTAAAAAGAGAGAATGAGAGAGGGAGTGAAAGGCTTCAATTTTATTATAATTTTATTTCTTTTAACATGCCCTGGTGTCTGGATAATTACATGTGAACCCCACAGGTTTCAGAAAACTACATTTTATCCCACCCTCATTTCCAGTGAGATTGTATTATTTATAGGTGAACGCACAAAAGACTAAACCCGTTTTGAATCCTGGATATTCCACGAACGGCGGTACACAAATGGCCTCCGAAAGCTTTCTTCGTCGTTGTTCTTCTTCTACTGAAACGATTACGAAAACCAAACTCTCATCTTTATTTACAAATTCATGTAAAGTGACTACAAGTATACCACAAGGTTCAGTACATAACTTGGAAGAGGTAGCGAGGCTTGATAAATTCCTTCAAAGAGATTGTAAACAAGGTAAGATCACTCTTGATGAAGCACGCTATTTCTTTTGTTTAATGATTCATATGCAACCCAAACCAACCATTTCATCATTCAACCGGTTGTTTGGAGCTCTTGCTAAGAAGATTTTTTTTGATGATGTCATTTTGCTTTACAAGCGAGCGGATTTAATGGGTTTGTTGCCAGATTTAATTACTTTGAATGTTTTGATTAATATTTTTGTAACGTGGGTCGAGTTTGTGGTGGTTTTGTTGTTTTCGGAAGGATTTTGAGGTGGGGTTTTAGCCCAGATGTTGTGACTTTTACTTCTTTGATTAAAGGTTTGTGTTTGGAGAATAGGGGTGCGGAGGCTACGAGGTTGTTCAAGAAAATGGTTGTCTTTGGGGTTAGGCCTGACGTGACTACGTATGGGACTTTGATTACTGGCTTGTGTCGGACAGGGAATACGAGTATTGCACTTAGGATACACGAAGAAATGGTTAATGGGAATGGTGAACGGGGTTTCATTTGTAAACCTAATATTGTTTATGGAAATGAAGGATAATGGAATTACACCAAATGTGGTTATTTGTACCTCTCTAATTTACGGTTGGTGTTTTGTGGGAAATTTGGTGGAGGCTAAAGGCTTGTTTATTGAGATGGTGGATCAAGGTTTGCAGCCTAATTTACTGACGTATAATACAATGTTAAGTGGGTTTTGCAAGGAGGGGAAGATGAAGGAAGCTAATTGGTTTTTGGAATTGATGATCCAAAGAGGTTTCCAACCTGACGCGTTTATTTATAACACTTTGATGGATGGTTATAGGTTGCAGCTTAGATTTGATGATGCAAGGGAGCTGCTATTCTCTATGGAGAGTAAGGGTTGTAAGGCTGATGTTGTTAGTTATAATACTTTGATCAACGCCTATGGCAAGAATAGGAAGTTAGAGAATGCTATGAGTCTGTACAAGGAAATGATTTCAAAGGGAATTAGACCAACAGTATATGCATATAACGGTTTGTTAACTAGTTTATTTCTATCAAATAAGGTTGGAGCTGCACAGAAACTATTTGATGAGATGAAACTTAATAATGTTGCACCGAATTCATTTACATTTATTATTTTGATTAATGGGCTATGCAAGAATGGTTGTGTTCTGGAGGCAGCAAAATGGTTTCGTACTTTGGAGAACTATCAGTTTAATATTTGTATTGAAATCTTTAACAGCCTCATTGATGGGTTGTGCAAAAATGGAATGATCGAAATTGCTTGGGAGATATTTCACAATTTGCATCATAAAAGCCTAATGCCAGACGTTGTAACATATAACATCTTTATCCATGGGTTTTGTAAAGAAGGGAAATTAGAAAAGGCATATGATTTGTTATCAAATATGGAAAAGATGGTATTGCGCCAGATGTAATAACATTCAGTACGCTTATGCAAGGTTTCTTACGAAATGATGATGCAACTAAAGTGGTTGAACTCCTTCACAAAATGAATGACAGAAATGTGATACCGGATGTTACCACATTTTCCATAGTTGTGGATTTACTGTCAAAGGATAAAGAACTTTTGATGTTGCTTCCTCAATTTCCTCCGCAAAAGTCAACAAGAGGCTGACATGATGAATGTTGCTGCACTTGACTATAAAAACCATCTTCAATGCTGTGAATGTCTGTAAGTTTATACTACAAGTGATAGTATTTTCTCTTTCTATTTTCTATGTAGCATCCTTTGATTATAAGTCTTCACGTATTTAATCATTTATGTTATTTTTAAGTTTTTTTGCTTATCTCAATTTGTTGTTGTTCACCTGAATTCTGATTATTTTAAACTCTTGGCAATTTTGTACTTGTTTTCTTTTCTCGGAGACAAAGTAAGGTAATAATTTGATATTGAAAAAATAAATCGATAATGTTATTGACTCGATATAATCTTCAAAATCGAGTTTTCTATAGTTGTTTTTCGTGACATTACAAACAACATAGTAAGGTTATGACCAAAATATGTTTATTTTTTAACTTAAAAGATGCATAAATAATATAGTTATACTAAAAATTAATTATTATTGGGCCAGGTATATCATGGGATTATCCATGGCCCAAATTGTCATCCCTATTTCCGGCCTATTATGGCTCAAATAAGATGACTGAAAATAGAATATGATTTAAAAATAAACATACTTATAATTAATTAGACACCAAACTGATGATTTATATTTAGAGAAAAATCAGATGATTAATAGACAGAAATGCACCCATTAATCTCCACTTGATTCCATAAAAAAACATAACAAATCATTTGCTCAAATCCGTTCTTACCGTTTTCAAAACTAAAACTCAAACTAAGATGGGTGATCAGAGTGAGAAACCAGAGGTCTTTGAACAGGGTATTTATTTATTTATTTAAATTTATTACTCAGTCACTTTATTTATGCTGATGGATGATTTTTTTTTTTTTTTTTTTTCCATTTTGTAATTTTTTGAAGGAAATTTGGCTGATGTTGTTCTTGGATTTGATTCTATTGAACCATATGTGGTAAATTTTCTATCTTTTCTCAACCCCATTTGATATTTTGTCATCTTTTTATGATCGGATGAAAATTCTGATTCTGGGTACATTGATTAGATTGTGTATAGATTGTAAACACTTTGACTATTTTTTTCTAATGCTATTTTTCCATCCAAGTTTTTCACTATGCCAATGATTTGGAGATTTGTTCATGTTGGTAGTTGTAAGGACAAAAGTTACCATACATATAGATATTCACTTTGTTTTTGTGAGATGAATAAGTAATTTTTGTTCTTGACAGTTTATAGAATTTTTTTATATTTTTTTTTGGAATTCAAGTTTTTGTTTCTTCTGCATTCTGCCTATGATGAATTATGGTATTATCAGAATGGTGCAGCACCTTTTTTTGGGTGCATTGTTGGTCAGGTTGCAAATCGAATCAAAGAGGGTAAATTTACTCTAGATGGGACCAAGTACACTTTGCCAATCAACAAGCTGTCGAACAGTCTCCATGGTATGAATTTGGTTGAGTCGGAATGTTAGGTTTTTCATTTTCTTATTTGATTGTGTGAAAATCTTGTGTTGTTTTATGTCCAGCAAAAGCTGTTGATGGTATTAAAACTGTTGTAGTCCAGCAGAAGCTTGTCTTCTGCTTTCAGGCAGGTGGGAACTTTGCCATTCATCAATAAAAGCACTTTTCCATATTGCTTTGTAGCATTAATATAGTAGCCACAGTACTTAGAGAAGAAATATAAGCCGCAGCGTATTGCTTTTGTAACGCTACAAACTAGGGTACCTAAAAGTTTGCTTTCCAATGTAGTAAAGAATTGTCCATCTTATCAACTTGAAGGAGATAACCCATTCCTTTATCGACTTTAGCGATATCAAGTTGTTGGCAAACTAATAAGTATACCCTTCTTGTTTGATCTAAGACACACAGACACTTATCCAACTGAAAAATGCCATTGCAAATCAATCATTGGGAGTTTATCAAAGAAAAACGTAATATTAGTGGCATCTGAGGACTGGGTGGATTTATGATATCTTTATGCACTAGAGTGCATTTGAATTTTTGCAAATTTATTTCCCTGATAAATTCTTCTGTCTTTTCTTTTCTTTAGGCGGTTTCAAGGGTTATGATAAAGTGATATGGACGGTAGCAGAACAAAAGAATGGGGAAAACCCATCTATTACTTTTAAGTATCACAGTCGTGATGGGGAAGAAGGTTTGTTTTCTCTCTCTCTCTCTTTCTCCCTGTTCGCCTCTTCTCTCATTTTTTCATCTCTAATTCTTCTGTTTGCCTCGTAATAGGTTACCCAAGAGATGTGTCTGTGACTGCAGCTTTCACACTTACTTCAAAAACGATGTTGAGACTTGACATGGAAGCAGTTCCGGAGAATAAGCCAACTTCAATCAGCTAAGCTCAACAAACCTACTGGAACTCAGCAGGCCACAACTGTGGGAACGTACTTGAGCACTCAATTCAGATTTGGGGGCAGCACATTACTCCCGTAGATGAGAACACTGTCCCAACTGGTGAAATTAAGTCAGTCAAAGGAACCCCTTTTGATTTCACCTCTGAGAAGAAGATCGGTGCGTCAATCCATGAAGTGGGTTTAAGGTATGACCACAACTACGTGCTTGATTGTGGGAAAGAGAAATCGGGGTTGAAGCATGCTGTAAAACTGAAGGACCCATCATCCTCAAGGGTCCTTAACCTGTGGACCAATGCCCCTGGGATGCAGTTTTATGCAGGGAACTATGTAAATGGAGTCGTCGGAAAAGGAGGTGCAGTTTATGGAAATCATGCTGGTGTCTGCTTAGAGACGCGGGGATTTCCTAATGCCATAAACCAATCTAACTTCCCATCTGTCGTGGTTAGACCAGGTGAGACATACAAGCATTCAATGTTGTATGAGTTTTCAGTTGAGTGAAGTAGTATTCTCTTTAAGTGTGGATATTGAAATAAAGGTTTGTTTTAGACGGTGAATAAGAGAGTATTCTCAATGATAAAAAATTCAAAACTTAAAATATTTAGTACACTGACATTTATTTGCATAAGTAAACCAGGTTGTTCTAGTCTTGGTAGAGATTGGTTGCCTATTATCAAAAATAAAAAATTACGTTCTTTTCTTGACATTTAGTAGTCTAATACATTCAACTTTCATATCGAACTTAAATGAAGTTTTGACATTCTTTCAACTTACACACAAATTGCAATTCTAGAAACGAATTTCCTTGCACAATAGAAATGGATTTACATCGTGCCCTTATGCCTGTTTCTCATGACATTATAAACAAAATATGCTTAAAATATGTTTATGCTTTACTAAATGATACTTCATTATATATACAAGTCAATAAATACATAAATGTCTAATCTTCTCTCTTATTTATCTTGACAATTCATGTAATTGAAGGTTTTTAAACTAAAAATAACTTATATAATATGCATATATTAACTTATACAATTGCTACACTCTTCCCTTACCACACTGGAGAAGACTTGCAGCCAGCCTTTTCTGAAGCTTTAAACATACCATTTTTAATTCCAATATCTTTTGCAATAGAAATTATTTCAATTTGAAACGCAAATATTCTATATTTATACCTCAATTTACTTGTTGCAAAAGCAAACTTTGCACCTTATTCTATAATTTAAATTGTATTATGTTCTATTAAAAGCCTTTAGTTGATTAAGATTATATATATACTAAACTATTGGGGGGCGTTTGGATTCTATAATGTTTTTTTTATCTTAGTAATAAAATTACCGGAAAGAAAGATTACATTGTAGATTATCGGGTTTAAATTATTATTGTGCTTGGTTCAATTGGGATGTATTAATAATTAATGTGTTTGGTTGATAGTAATAACAGATGTCCTAAAATACCCTTTTACTAGAATGCCCTTGGGATGATTACTTATATTACTAATTAATCTGTTTGGTTGGCTGTAAGAGCAGATGTCTTAATTACATTTTACTAAATGTCCTTTAGATGATTACGAGATATAAATAATTAACGGTTTGTTTGTTTTATTATTTCAAACCCTATTCTCAAAATACTTGTTTGTTTAATTATTTGGGAAATACTATTCTATTTTTTAAAATATTTTTAGACTCCTTAAGTTTATTAACTTAATTAAATACCCCCAGAAAAAAGTTTAAAAATGAACAAAAACAACCCCACCCACCCATAGTTGCTAGATTTCGGCAACCACCGTCAGTGGTGGCCGAAATATATCACAACGGCCTAAAAACGATCGAAAATGCCCGTTTATTCATCGATTTGGCAGTCAACAACGGCCAAAGAAATGGTTGTCGTTGACGCTCAACGATGGCCAACTCTTGACTGTCTCTAATGGCCAGATCTGGCCTTTTGCGGCAGTCGATGACCAAATCTTGCCGTAGATCTAGCATTTTCCGATCAGATACCACCGGCCAAATTTGTCTGAGTCGTAATGGCAGATTCTGACCAGATTTCGACGGTGGTGGCGGGAATTTGGCACTGTGATGGGTGGGGGTTTTTTGGTCACAATATGTAAATATGTAAGGATAATATGGGCACAACAATATTTCGTGGCATTTATGAAAATATTGATAATAAGTAGGGCAATTTTGTCTGAAAAATTAAAAAGCTGAGGACAAATCCGTCTTCTTGTGCAAATTGGGTGTTTTGTAATTATTAACAAAGCCAAGGATATTTTCGTCCACATTGTCCACTGTTTTGGGGCAAAATTGGACAAAAATTTGGATAACAGAAGTAAGCTTTTAATACTACCCTCTCCCTAGGTAATATTATTCCCGGTGATTTACCCCCAATTTGGCACTGTTTGACATTTTTTTGGGGAAATTTTTTTTTTTACAAAACAACCAAACATGGTTATCTACCTAATTTAAAATATATTACCCCCGTTATATAATATCAACCTGATCCAAACGGCCCCTTAATGTTATTTAATATGAAATACCTGAAATATTGGATATCTATGCTTGGGATGCAAGTGAATCTTGTTTTCTTTTCTTGGGGACAAAGTAGGGTGATAATTTGATATTGAAAAAATAAATATATTACCACAAGCTCTCACTATATTACCAAATCGATAATCAGAATTTGTTGATAAAATTACAAAAAAAAAATATGAATCCTGATAGGATTTGAATTTAATTAGTGAAATTCTTTATTTTTATTTTAATGTTTTATTTTGATAATAAGATCTGTGGCACAAAGACAAATAAACTTCAGAAGTCTCCAAGATTTGCAAGATTGAAAAAAAAGTTTAGCTTAATGGTCAACAGTAATGCTTCAGGGTTCAAGGGTGTTTAGGTCAATTTGTGTACACTTCAAATAATCATTCGAAACTTTAAAGTTGACAATGGGGTAAATCCCTTCAGTGTTTACCCCTATTAGTAATCTATGTGTATCAAACCCATGATCTCTTGAGTAATATATCCAAGAATCATAATTGACCGTTGTGTTATCCAATCGGGTGGTTGATTTTTTTTTTTTTTTTTTTTAATTTCACTTTTGTCCGTGCGTAACACAGACAAAGTAATTCACATTCACTAAAGACTAATGTTTAGCAAACCTTAAAAAGTTTTTTTTTTTTATTTTGATTTGATTTGAAATTGATGATTTATTTTATATTTAACCCACCCTCATTTCCGGTGAGATTGTTGTATTATTTATATGTAAACCCACAAAGGAGAAAAGACTAACGTAGTTGGAACCCTAGATAATCCACAAACGGCGGTACTCAAATGGCCTCCAAAAGCTTTCTTCGTCGTTGTTCTTCATCTTCTGAAACGATTACGAAAACCAAACTCTCATCTTTATTCACAAATTCATGTAAAGTGACTGCAACCATACCACAAGATTCAGTAGATAACGCTGAAGAGGTAGCGAGGCTTGATAAATTCCTTCAAAAAGATTGTCAACAAGGTAATATCACTCTTGATGAAGCACGCTATTTCTTTTGTTTAATGATTCATATGCAACCCAAACCACCGATTTCATCATTCAACCGGATGTTTGGAGCTCTTGCCAAGAAAAAATTTTATGAAGACGTTATTTTGCTGTACAAGCAAGCGGATTCGATGGGTTTGTTGCCGGATCTTTTTACTTTGACTATTTTGATTAATTGCTTTTGTAATGTGGGTCGAGTTCGTAATGGTTTTGTTGTTTTCGGGAGGATTTTGAGGTGGGGTTTTAGCCCAGGTGTTGTGGCTTTGACTTCTTTGATTAAAGGTTTGTGTTTGGAGAATAGGGTTACGGAGGCTACGAGGTTGTTCAAGAAAATGGTTGTCTTTGGGGTTAGGCCTAACGTGATTACGTATGACACTTTGATTAACGGGTTGTGTCGGACAGGGAACACGAGTGTTGCGCTTAGATTGCATGAAGAAATGGTTGCTGGTAATGGTGAACGGGGTTTTATTTGTAAGCCGAATATTGTTTGCTATGGTAGTATTATTGATGGTCTTTGTAAAGATGGGTTGGTAGATAGGGCAAAAGAATTGTTTATAGAAATGAAGAGTAGAGGAATTAAGCCAAATGTGGTTGTTTGTACCTCTTTAATTTACGGTTGGTGTTTTGTGGGAAATCTGGAGGAGGCTAAAGGCTTGTTTATTGAGATGGCGAATCAAGGTTTGCAGCCTAATTTACTGACGTATAATACAATAATAAGTGGGTTGTGCAAGGAGGGGAAGATAGAGGAAGCTAATTGGTTTTTGGAATTGATGATCCAAAGAGGTTTGCAACCAAACGTGTTTATTTATAACACTTTGATGGATGGTTATTGCTTGCAGCTTAGATTTGATGATGCAAGGGAGCTGCTATTCTCTATGGAGAGTAAGGGTTGTAAGGCTGATGTTGTTAGTTATAATACTTTGATCAATGCCTATGGCAAGAACAGGAAGTTAGAGAATGCTATGAGTCTGTACAAGGAAATGATTTCAAAGGGAATTAGACCAACAGTATATACATATAATGGGTTGTTAACTAGTCTTTTTCTATCAAATAAGGTTCGAACTGCACAGAAACTATTTGATGAGATGAAACTTAATAATGTTGCACCGAATTCATTTACATATGGTATTTTGATTGATGGGCTATGCAAGAATGGCTGTGTTCTGGAGGCAGCAAAATGGTTTCGTACTTTGGAGTACAATGAGTTTAAACTTAGTATTGAAATCTGTAGCAGCCTCGTTGATGGGTTGTGTAAACATGGAATGATCAAAATTGCTTGGGAGATATTTCACAAATTGCCTCAAAAAGGCCTAATGCCAAACGTTATGACATATTCCATCTTAATCAATGGGTTTTGTAAAGAGGGGAAACTACAAAAGGCATATGATTTGTTATTTGATATGGAAAAAAAGGGTTGTGCTCCAAATGCTGTTACATTCAATACGCTTATGCAAGGTTTCTTACAAAATGATGATGCAACTAAAGTGGTTGAACTTCTTCACAAAATGAAGGACAGAAATGTGATACCGGATGATATCACATTTTCCATAGTTGTGGATTTACTGTCAAAGGATAAAGAACTTTTGAAGTTGCTTCCTCAATTTCCTCTGCAAAAGTCAACAAGAGGCTGACATGATAAATATTGCTGCACTTGACTATAAAAACCATCTTCAATGCTGTGAATGTCTGTAAGTTTATGCTACAAGTGATAGCATTTTTTCTTTCTATTTTCTATGTAGCATCCTTTGATCGTAATCTTTCACTTATTTAATCATTTATTTATTTTTAAGTATTTTTTGCCTATCTCAATTTTTGTTGCTCACCTGAATTCTGATTCTTCTAATTATGTTAAACTCTTTGCAATTTTGTACTAGAAACTTAATAGAGTACTGTGTGGAAACTAATGAAAGTTGAATAAGGTAGATTTGATCTAATCCATAATTAGGTTGATTGCATTTAACAATGGTAGCAATTTTTACAAACTAAATTTATTGAGTTTTCTTGGTCATATGATGAAAAGCTGTTTCTCTCTGACATTTTCACTCTTTAATTTATGAATACTCTCCAAAAGCACCCTTTTGTTCTTAAAAGCCCTTCCCTTGACCTTCAAGTAGAGCTTATGGTGCAAGTGCTTGTCAATCTTCTCATTCTTCTCAGTCCTCTCCCACAAAACTTCTTTTGTCCCCTTCCTCTGCCCATTTCCTTAATGCCTACCTTTTCTCTTTGCTTCAATGGGGTTCTCAAGGTCCAAGATAGTAAACCTCTTTCATCGCCAAACCAACAAATCTGTTAGGGATATTGCAAGTTTTTATTTGTCATTGGATTCCATAGTCAATATTATTTATTAACTCCATCATTGGATAATGAATACATATAAAAATGTTTCATTGTATCTTTGAATATATTTTGCAAACTAGTGCATTTTCGATTAGTATGGACGAATGACATATAAATAAAAAAACTCTATATTATGCTTTAAAAAAAAATTAATTATTTTTGTACACATTTTTATAAATTAGTTTTAAAGTTTAATTTTTTTCTAAAGTGTAAATGTTATTATAATAAAAGTTTTAATCAATCAATAAAGAGTGATTCTAAAGCCCCCCATTTTATTAAGCCCTCATTTAGATAAATATGTAAATAAAAACTATATAAAAACCAAAGAGTTTGGCAAACCCACACTCAAAATGTTCAATTTGGTCCGTAAAGAATGGCAAAGTTGTAATACAATAGCAACCATGGTTTAAAACTAAGATGAAGAGAAAATGAGACTCAAGTCAAAACCCAAAAGACTCGTTTGAACCCTAGCACAAACGGCGCACTCAAATGGCCTACAAAACCTTTCTTCGTCGTTCTTCTTCTTCTTCTGAATCGGTTACGAAACCCAACTCTCATCTTTATTCACAATTCATGTAAAGTGACTACAACCATACCACAAGTTCAGTAGTAGCGAGGCTTGATAAATTCCTTCAAAAAGTTATAAAGAAGGTAATATCACTCTTGATGAACACGCTATTTCTTTTGTTTATGATTCATATGAAACCCAAACCACCATTTCATCATTCAACCGGTTGTTTGGAGCTCTTGCAAGAAAAGTTTTATGAAGACGTTATTTTGCTTTACAAGCGAGCGGATCAATGGGTTTGTTGCCAGATTTAGTTACTTTAAATGTTTTGATTAATTGTTTTTGTAGTGTGGGTCGAGTTTGTGATGGTTTTGTTGTTTTCGGGTGGATTTTGAGTGGGGTTTTAACCAGATGCTGTGACTTTTAATTCTTTGATGAAAGGTTTGTATTTGGAGAATAGGGGTACGGAGGCTATGAGGTTGTTCAAGAAAATGGCTGTGTTTGGGTCAGGCCTATATTATTTCTTACGCTAGTATTATCCATGGTCTTTGTAGAGATGGTCGGTAGATGGGCAAGAAATTTTTTTGGAAATGAAGAGTGGAGGAATTAAGCCAAATCTGGTTGTTTGTAATCCTCTAATTACGGTTGGTGTTTTGTGGGAAATTTGGAGGAGGCTAAGGCTTTTTTATTGAGATGGCGGATCAAGGTTTGCAGCCTGATTACTGACGTATAATACAATGATAAGTGGTTTTGCAAGGAGGGGAAGATAGAGGAAGCCATTGGTTTGGAATTGTGATCCAAAGAGGTTTGCAACCAAACATATATACTTATAGTACTTTGAGGAGTGGTTATTGCTTGCTGCATGTTTTGATGATGCAGGACTGCTAATCTCTATGGAGAGTAAGGGTTGTAAGCCTGATGTTTGTAAGTTACACTACTTTGATCAATGCCTATGGCAAGAATAGGAATTAGAGAATGCTATGAGTCTTTTCAGGGAAATGATTTCAAAGGGAATTAGACCCGACGTTGCTGCATATAAACACTTTGCTGACTAGTCTTTTTCTATCAATAAGGTTGGAACTGCACGGAAACTATTTGATGAGATGAAACTTCATAATGTTTCTCCTAATTTACATACATATACAATTTTGATTGATGGGCTATGCAAGAATGGCTGTGTTCTGGAGGCGCAAAATGGTTTCGTACTTTGGAGTACTATGAGTTTAAACTTAGTATTGAAATCTATAGCAGCCTCATTGATGGGTTGTGTAAAAATGGAATGATCGAAATTGCTTGGGAGATATTTCACAAATTGCCTCAGAAAGGCCTAATGCCAGACTTTTGACATATACCCTTAATCAATGGGTTGTGTAAAGAGGGGAAACTACAAAAGGCATATGATTTGTTATTTGATATGGAAAAAAAGGGTTGTGCTCCAAATGCTGTTACATTCAATACTCTTATGCGAGGCTTTTTGCAAAATAATGATGCAGCTAAAGTGGTTGAACTTCTTCACAAAATGAATGACAGAAATGTGATACCAGATGAATCAACATTGTCTACAGTCGTAGATCTGCTTGTAAAGCATGAAAATTATCGTGAATGTTTGGAGTTGCTTCCTCAATTTCCTCTGCAAAAGTCAACAAGAAACTGAAATGATAAATATTGCTGCACTTGACTGTAAAAACCATCTTCAATGCTGTGAATGTAAAGGGTAGTATTTTCTCTTTTATTTTCCATGTAGCATCCTTCGATCATAAGTCTTCACGTATTTAATCCTTTATATTATTTTTAAGGTTTTTTTGTTTGCTTATTTCAATTTTTGGTTGCCCACCTGAATTCTAATTCCTCTATTCATCTTAAACTCTATGCAATTTTGTACTAGGAACTTAATAAGAGTATTGTGTAAAAACTAATTAACGTTGAATAAGGTAGATTTGGTCACAAATTGATGATGAAAAAGCTGTTTCTCTCTTACATTTTCACTCTTTCAACTTATGAATATTCTCCAAAAGCACCCTTTTGATCTTAAAAGCACTTCCCTTGACCTTCAAGTAGAGCTTATGGTGCAAGTGCTTATCAATCTTTTGGAGCTCCCTGTACTTGAAAAGCAATTTCCTAAGCACTTGATGGAAGCCTCCCTTCCTCTTCCCATATCCTGAATGCCTCCCTTTTCTCTTTGCTTCATGGGATTGCTTTGTTCTTGATCTTGACTGGATTGTGCTAGGCTTTTTCACTATCAATCCATCCTTTACTAGCTTTCTTATGTTCATTCCTGCAATTGCAAGTTTTCATAATAATTAAGACTTATTTGAAATGGAGAAGGAGATGTGATTGGCCTCATTAGGATCAAGTCACACTCTCCCCACAGTTGAGAACACACCATTTTTTGTTTGTTTTGAAATAGAAAGTATTACAATTTGAAACGCAAAGCTTAGTATAAAATATAATTTAATGTTAAATATATACTATAGTATTAATGTTATTTAATATGGAATACTTAAAATATTGGATATCTATGCTTTGGATGCAAGTGAAACTTGTTTTCTTTTCTTAGGAACAAAGTACGATGATAGTTTGATATTGAACAAATAAATATATAATGATAAATTCAGGTTGTATTATCGAATCGATAATGTTATTAACTCAATATAATCATCGAAATCGAGTTTTTGATAGTGTTTCTCATGACATTATAAACAATAAAGTAAGGTTATGCACATTATCGACGTGAAGGTGAAGCGGAATTGGAATAGAACCAAAATATGTTTATTTTTGTACTTAAAAAGATGTCTAAATAATATAGTTTTACCAATGATTTTTAACTAAAAAATAATTATTATCGGGTCAGGTCAATCCTGGGATTGTCCATGGCCCGGCCCAAATTATCATCTCTACTTTCGCCCTATTATGGCCCAAATAAGATGTGTGAAAATGCTGAGTAAACAGATTAGAAACAAACTGATGATTTATACTTAGTGAAAAATCAGACGAGAAAAAGACAGAAATGCCCCCACTAATCTCTACCCCATTCCATTAAAATATAACAAATCATTTGCTCAACTCCAGTCTTACCATTTTCAAAACTAAAACTCAGACGAAGATGGCTGATCAGAGTGAGAAACCTGAGGTCTTTGAACTTAACAATGGATCCATGCATGTCAAAATCTCCAATTTTGGCGCCACAATCTTGTCGCTTTCTTTACCTGACAAACAGGGTATTTATTTATTTATTTAAATTTACTACTCAGTCACTTTATTTTTGCTGATGGATGATATTTTTTTCTTTTTGTAATTTTTTGAAGGAAATTTGGCTGATGTTGTTCTTGGATTCGATTCTATTGAACCATATGTGGTAAATTTTCTATCTTTTCTCAACCCCATTTGATTTTTTGTCATCTTTTTACGATTGGATGACTGATTCTGGGTACATTGATTAGATTGTGTATGAATTGTAAACCCTTTGACTATTTTTTTTCATAATGCGATTTTTCCGTCCAAGGGTGTGTTTTTAACTATGCCGAAGTGTTGGGAGTCAATGAATTTGTAAATCTTGTGTTGTTTTAGGTCAGTCCCTATTAAAACTTTTGTAGTCCAGCAAAAGCTTGTC